ATGTTCAATGAGAGTAGGGTTAATAACTTCCATGAAAAGATAATTAAGTGTCATTGGACTTAATGATGTGGAAGATAGATGTTGGCATGGGAGAGACAATTAAAAGCAGTGTTTTGATGGGAAAGGAGGCGAAGCACTAATAAACAACAAAGGAATCATAAGTGAGAAAAAAATCCCAATGAGGCAACATAACTAACAAGGTAGCAACGAAGGAGAGGGTTAGAAAAAATAATAGTCCAGTACAGATAGTGTATCATAGAGAATGAGATGATCTAATGGTTAATAAAATTAGTACACCATGGACCACATATTAAACTAGTCCACTGTAGGCCTCATCAAACAAATGAACTATAAATAAAACATGATAAGTTAATGCTCAAAGATAAAAGTTCATGAGAATAATGAGTTTACCCAACGGGTCAATTTGACGAGCTAACCTAACTTGTCATTTGAGTCGTTGCGTTATATGTATTGGAGGGTTGGAAACTGCCATTCAACCCAAGTCATTTGGACAAGTTATATGAATTAATTTATTGGATTGAACCTATTTTAACACCTTTAGGTTCAACATATCGGTGGTTCCCATGTGCCTCATATTGACTCTAGCTTAATTCATGGTGGTCACTAAATTAATTATGTTATTTTATTTTTATTTTATGGGCCTTTAATCCCCTTTTTTTTCAAATCAAATTAATTTTTTTTATAAGTTCCTTGAGACTTGATCTAATAGGCTCATTGAACAACATGAAATCATATTGAGGATTCAACTTAGGGGGTGGTTTATTTTATTTCCTTATGTTCAATATGTGAAAGGATTAGCGGAAAATAAAAAATTTTGGGATTGAGACCTATATGAGATGTCATACATCAACATCACAAAAGTAATACAAGGTATTGGATACACCACTTTTAAGTATTATGGTGCACACATTCAAATTTCAATTTGCAAAAAGTGGTGATTTTCTAAATAAAGCCCACATTAACAAAGGGTAATATTTATCACCAATTGTTATTAGAAAGTCTAATGTCCATAACCTTTGCTAGTTTAGTATTTTTCAAGTTTCAAACAAATAAGCCCATATAAGATTTAAAGGACCAATTGTTTTGGGTGGAGTATCTAGTAACGAAGTTACATTCTCAGGTATTGATACCGAAGACAAAAAATTAAAATAATCTTTAGACACCCTGTGGACACCTAATTTCGTCTGGACTTATAAGCTGAGAGATAGACTTCTATTTGTGAAGAAAAGGAGCTCCCAAGCATGGAAACGACAAGATACAATATCAGGAGACTTAAAAGCCCTGTAAAGACTGATTTAGTAGCCTAGAACGGGCTGTTCCCAAAATGGAACGGCCCGTTCCCCAACTAGAACAGACTATTCTCAAGCTGGAATGACCTATTCCTAACTTGGAACGGGTCGTTCTTAAACTGGAACGGCCTGTTCCAAACCACCAAAAAGGCCTAAAAACCTAGTTTGGAATGGGCCGTTCCAACATGGCAATTATGAGTTAAAACTCAACTCTAGAACGGGCCGTTGTGATTTAAGAACGGGCCGTTCCGAATCTGGAATGGGTCATTCTGGCCACTTCTGATGTCTATAAATAGCAGACTCAGGCACTGTTCTCGTGGCCAGAAAAATTCGTTCAAGACTCCTTATAGCTCGAAAATTCTCTCTCTCTCCCTCCTATTATATTTCTTGAAATTTATGAGGCATTTGTGTAGTGTGAAATGTAGCCAAAAAACACCTAATAGATCCCCATGTTTGAAGATTCAGTAAAGCTCGTTTAAGAGGTATTTTAGTAAATTCTCTTCTCTTTTCTCTATTCCCTCATTTTAAATATCGTTATAATAAAAGCAACCATGTAGACATTTTAGGATCAATTATGAAATTTAAATTTCAAGCATGTTAATAACCATTAATAAAGGGGATTAAATATTTAACTTCTTAATTCTTACTATGCTAACTTCATCATAAGGGTACCGATTAAGGGCGTTGTAGGGGTGCTTAATACATTCCCTATATGTAACTAGCCCCCGAACCCAATTCTGGTTATCAAGGCCATTATAGGACTTTTAAAAACCTTTTCTTTTTCCAATGTTTTAAGTAAAATATTGGTGGCGACTCTATGAACCTATTTTCAAAACCATTAATTAGGGATTAGTATAGTCTCCGGACATTCCTTAATTGATGAGATTTTCAAAAGGATGTTTAAATCATAGGTCGCAAGATCAGAAATTTTCGGGTTGCAACACACCCCAATCCAATGATGTTACATTAGACTTTTCAAAGTGAAATATCTTTATCTTTTTTTACTTTTTTTTTGAATTAGTAATTAATTTATCAAGGAATTTTAAAATATTAAATAAATATAATAATACAAAATGAAAAAAGTAAATAATGCAAAACTATCCTTCATATACGCACATATTTTTCATTTATATTATTATATAAAAGGGAGACCTCTTTCAACACCTGCTTTAGTCTCCACCTTCATATGAATTATTTTACCTTTTTTTTTATTTATTATTTTACTCATAAGTCAAAGTCACCTTTTCTCTTTCAATATTATTTTTACCAGAATTTGCAAGTGCTTCCATGGTAAAGGTGAGGTCCTGATTTTGTATGCAACTAAGTGCTTATCTAAGTAGGTCAGACCATCATATGTCTTCATCGCGAGGTGTTTCCATCCTTAGGGAAGTGGTGCCTCGACCATGGCGTCTTTAAAAGGGTGACCTCAACGTTCACTAATGAGACACCCAAGTGGAAATCTAGGGGGAGAGTGACTTTCATCACTAAGTTGGGATTCTCGCGGTGCATGTGTCTTTGAATGACCTACAAGGGTGTATTCCTCAGTTGTGGAGATGGCTATACCATGAGAATTTTTTACGGAAATGGAATTTAAAAAAAAAAATTACCAAAAATGCACCTGTTACACTTTATTTACACATCTAGCACCATTCATTGTTCATATTCAGAATTTGGTTCCCGGGGAACCGAATTCTGAGCTTCAATTTTTTTTTTGTGATCAGAATTCGGTTCCTGGGAAACCGAATTCTGAGTAGTTTTTAATTTTTTTTTGGTTGGTGGAACAGTTTGCGCGAATTTTGGAATTCACACGTAGAATGTTAATTTTGAAAATGGAACTTTGAAGCTCAGAATTCGGTTCCTTGGGAACCAAATTTTGAAAATGAACAGTAAATGGTGCTAGATGTGTAAATAAAGTATAACAGGTTCATTTTTGGTAAAATTTTTTTCAAAAAATTCTACTTCCGTAAAAAATTCGTACCATGATGAGTGCTATTAAACTCTCAACATATGATTTGAAGCTCTTGTATGCAGCGTGTGAGGTCAGCTTTGTAGTATGCATTATCAAACTTGTGCTATTGGCGAAGGGCAATGAATACTTCTTTGTTATGCTTTTCATTTGCTCTAGTAGCTCAACATTGGATGGTGGTGTCGTGGAGGTGGGAGGTTGTCATTCAAGAACAATGTCGCCATTTGCTATGAAGATCCCTATCACATTATGGTTCATCATTCAATTTCGGGTGGAAACCTTGTGTGGTTGGAGGATAGTTTCAATTCAACCCCGCAATGGGCACTAAATGTTCTTATTAGATTTTGCAAGTGTTTCCACAATGAAGATGACGTCCTAGTTGCTCCAATAACCACGAGGGTGACGTCTCGGTTGCTCCAATATCCACAGCGATGGGGAACACTCGCAAAGATACTCCAACACTCAAGTTAAAAGAGAGTTTATATTAAGAATTAGGTTATGTTAGAATGCTACTTGATGCCCCATATATGAGTTGGTTGTATTGCATTATTATAGGAGATGATCTTGTGTGACCGTTATGGGGTATCTCCATGATTGTGAAGATGTTATTTATGTCTTGCTCTTTAATGTGTTTTAGAATATTTAAAGATATGGTGCTGACATTATCGCTTGGTTGTTGCATAAGTTACAATTTCAAGCTTGTTGAGATAATGCTTGGTTGTGAGGTTGGCTTAGTTGTTTGAGTTGATAAAGGTCGACTTGAAAAATCCAAGTTAGGTGGTACAAATATTTTTTCGTCTCAATTTTGTTATTTTTTAAAAAATAATTGCTCACTTAACTACATACTACATGATTTTTTTTTATATTTTTGATTAATTTAAAAAATAGAGAGATAAGGAGCGCCTTTTTTTTCTCTGGTGTTATATAAAAAACCTAAAATAATAATAGAATGAATACTTATTTAAAATATTTAAAGTAATAATATCTTAGTAGACCGGAAACATTTCATGTTTTTATATAATAGTTATATAAACAGTTACATTTATTTTAATATATATGTATATATATATATATATTTTTTTTTTCCCCTTCTATTTTATCTTCTATCCAATATATTGTTATAAGAGAGTTATTGTATAATTGAATGTATAAAAAAACAAAAAAGAAACGAAAGTAATTATTTAAAATGGTATATTCTATTTATTAATCGTTATATATATATATATATATATATATGATTTAATTTAATGAAACACATAATTTAAGATAACAGAATAATAAAACATGTTATAGAAAACCCAAATAATATTTAAGAAAAATGCATTAACATAATTCGTAGTCAAACAATATTGTTGTACTTTATACCTTAGTTGGATTTTAATTTTTATGGAATGAAAAAACAAATCTAAAAGAAAAACTAGAAAATTGAAGATGTAACAAATTTGACCGAAAAAAAAAGAGAGTCTATTTTATGAGAAGGGCAAAACCGAAATTACATTGCTCTAAAAACGTAAATTGTTAAAATAATTTATTTACTCTTTTCTTATGGGAATAATAAGTGATAAATAAGGAAACCCAATAAGGAAGCTCCCGGCGAGGATCGAACTCGCGACCTTTCGCTTACGAAGCGAACGCACTACCACTATGCTACGGAAGCCACCGCTGCTTTTTTGCAGTCAGAGGAAACTTTAGAAAGTTATATTACGACAACGAAGTAGAGTCGAAGTCAAAACCCTACGAAAACCACGTTCAGTGTTCAGCTGCCAGAGCACTAGCGGTGAGGAAAATGTGCGGAATTGCGTTGATCGTCTCAGGCATTCGTGTTGACACCTCATCTTTGCCCTTCGATTCAACAAGCCCAACTCGCGTAACCGAGAAAGTAAGCGTAATCGGTAATTCTTACTCTTCAAAATGACCGAAACTCTAAACCAAGCTCATAACAATTCGTGCCGTTTCCTTTCATCTGCGACAGTTATCGTTCTCTTTAGATGACCTGAAAGCAGCTCTGCGGAGAAGGGGTCCCGATAGCGTGTGCGCCAAGAAACTTCTTCTGCAATTAGGGCAAAGCCGAATCTCGTCCTTCACAGAACAAGACGATGACGTGTCTTGTTGCGAATGCGACAACATCCAAACCGCGAAACTTCATTTCTTCGGTGCAACTCTGCAGCTCCGGGGGACTATTCCGCTCGTTCAGCCACTGGTGGATGCGTCTCGAAATGTTCTCGTGTATAACGGTATTCTGTTTGTTTCACGTGTTGCATTTTAAAGCATTGTTGTGGAATTATGGTGTTTCTAGGTATTGATTTCCGTTGTGCTCTTTAGGTGAGATTTTTGGGGGACTTCACCTCGCTAGTGATTGCAACGATACTGAGTTTCTCATGAGGACTCTAGGGGAGTGTTGCTCATGTGGTTCTTGTGCAACTGGTTGCTGTGTTAAATGTGGGAAAAGTTCCGTTGTGGATGTTCTTTCTGCGATTAAAGGACCCTGGGCTATCATCTATTGGCAGGTAACACCGAGTGGTAAGTTTCTGTGTGTTTGAATCTTTTGCTGTCTGGAGCCTCTTTGAATACAAGCTTAAAAGAGTTTTTGAGTGTTTCTCTGCTGGAAAGAGCTCTTTATTTTCAATAAAAAGTTATCAAAAGCTCTTCTAAGTCTATATCCAAATTGGCTCATGGTTTTCGTGGATGCAGTGTCAGAGGTGGTGTTTTGTTTGTCTTTTGTAGGATAGTTCGAGGACTCTTTGGTTTGGGCGAGATGCATTTGGTAGGCGGAGCCTCCTTGTTCACTGGCCTACGGAAGACGATTCGACCTTTATGCTTTCTTCTGTGTCACCTGTTTCACCGGTTCT